TTTTACTCAGTATCATTGAATGGTCAAATTACCATCTGCGGTTAACCGCAGACCGTTATATCGACGGGGAGTGGCGTTTAACTTTTAACTATAGATGCAATGACTGTTTGTCTCACTGATGTAATAGCCTTTAATGTCCTAGATGCTATGTTATCGGTTTCCATCACAGGAAAGTTAATCAGAAATGTAGAGACGCACAAAGTAATTTACTCTTGGATAATTCACAATGGACTTGGGATGTGTTACATCGCCTTATTTCCGATGTTAGCGGGTTCCATTCCTCGCACGATGCAAATATTTGTATTCATGAGTATGATAGTTTGTTTTTGATCTGAGTGTTATCTATTATATATATTATGTATGTACGTACTTATGAAAAAAGAGCAATACACTAGTTTCTTGCTCGTTCTTCTTGTGATGAGACAGCTTTCCGAACGAGCGGTAGATAAAAAACAAATTGTTATGACTATTCAAAACTGCTTAAATTAAGTTTATTTGAATAAATGATTTTCTATTCTATTCTATTCTAAAATAAATTTAAGTAGTTTAGTACTCATAACACAGCGCCATCTAGTTTCTAGCTAAGAAGAGCTGCTGCTTATCTTGAAACTAGATGGCGCTGTGTGAATTGTCCAATGATATTGTTATTTATCTATATACTGGACCATGACACTCTGAATTTGAAATAAAAATACAATACTTAAAATAGATTTGTTTATACATATAACTGGGGCTTCCCTTGAAACAAATTTCAACAATATCATTTTAGTTCTGCGAATATTCCACTGTCCACATTTAGATTTATTTATGTGTATTATTAACATAATTGTATGTTAATTTTCATATTTATATGTACCATTGGTATATATTTTCGGTATATATATATATATATATATATATATATATATATATTAAAAAAGGACAGATTTACTTTTTTGTATGTTCGTTTATAATGAATAAATCGGAAATATACTTGAGAGATTAAAAAAAAACCTTTGACATATTGTGTACTAGCTGACCCGCTCAACTTCGTCTGCATCATCATCATCATCATCATCACACTTACTTGACATTTATAATTATATTTCGCCCAACTTACATAATATCTTTCTCTATTATAGTCTATGTGTTATTCTGATGTATAAGCTATATTACTGTAAAGTTTTGTTCAAAATCCGTTCAGTAGTTTTTGTCGGAGAGAGTAAACATCCATCCGTTTTCACAAACTTTATCTTTTATAATATTAGTGACATTCTTTAATTATAACAGCGAGTAAATTGGGCTGTGATTTTATACTATATACTAGCTTATACCCGCGGCTTCACTCGCATATTTTGTTTTAAATAAAAAATATCCTATATTCATTCTAATCCTCCAAGAATATGTATACAAAATTTCATGATGATCGGTTCAGTAGTTTTTGCGTGAAAGCGTAACAAACATCGATACATTCACATGTATAATATTAGTAAGGATCTACCCGCTGCTCTTCTGTTTACCCGTGATCATGGCCGTTGAAACCCTGCCGAAATATCGGGAACTCAAAAAACAATAAAAAAAAAGTGGTAAGTACCCGTGACTTTTACTAGTTATATGTATAAGTCTGAGTAAGTAAAATTAAATATATATATATAAATATATATACGCAAACGTTGTTTTAACAATGATAAAAAAAATTTAGGATTGTATGTATTTTTGTATGTTGTATCATAAAAAGATAGAAACTAAAAATTTTCTCTAAAAAATAAAAAATAAAAATTTAGGGGTGGTCTACCCCTAACATTTAGATGATGAAAAATAGATTATCAGACCTACTCAATGCTCACAAAACATGAGAAAGTAAAATGGGAACGAAAAAAATATATATATATATATATGCATATATTTAGGTACAAAATGTTATGGGTGTATTTAGTATATGTTCATATATACAGTATGTATTTAATATAATACAAAAAGTTTTATCACCAAAGAGAAATATTTCACATGTTCATATATATATACATTTATATATCTTTATTCCTGATTGATATTTCAAAATCTAAATCATACGTATTAGTAGTAATCATGATGGCAACACTAATTAGGCAATACAACCCCCCTTGGACCGAGGGGGGTGATCAAGGTCTGTCTGTTTGTGTTTAGTTGAATTTTGAGGCGTGTTTTAATTAGTTCAATATGCTTTAATTAATTAGATGCCTACTTTGCAATAGTATCAATTAAATAGATTAGTTTAAAACAGGGTTGTTAGACAGCTCCGTAACCGTAACCGAAAATATCGATACCGATATAAAAAAATATTCGTAACCGTAACCGAAACCGAAATAAAAGTTTCGGATAATATCGGATAGGAACGGAGCCTAATAGAGACACGTTATGTAACCATTTTATTAGCTATTTGTAGTTTACTTTTGAAATTCCTTAAAAAATTAATATCCGTAACCGAAATTATCCGAAACTAACGGATAATCCGAAATAATTTCATATCCGCATCCGTATCCGGTATAATAATCATTCCTATATCCGAAACCTATCCGTATCCGAAATTTCATATCCATAACATCGCTGGTTTAAAATACGGGAATTTTAGTATGTTCAAATATACCTCGACGGTCTAGTGGCTTAGCACACCGCCTTACTTCCCATAGTTGCGGGTTCGATTCCTCGCACGGTACAAACATTTGTATTCATGAGTATGACTGTTTGTATCGGTCTGGGTGTTTTCTAAGTATAATATGTATGTATTTACGAAAAAAATATATATGTATTTGTATCAGTTATTAGGTACTAGACCTATATCACAAGCTTTAGTTAGCTTAACTTGGGTCTAGATGGCGCTGTGTGAATTGTCCTGAGATTATTATTATACCTACTCAGTGAAATAGAAATAGCTAATATTTATTTAAATAGATTAATTAAAAATCCCCATCAATATGTTCAAATATACTGAGCGAAAAAGAATTAGAGATAATGTTTATCCAAATAAACTTAATATAAGCACATTTCAGTCAGTCATATTTTTTATTCTACCACTCATTCGGAACGCAGATTCATCACAAGAAGAATTAGAAAAAAACCCGAGTGTTGGATGATAATGGAATGATACACCTGCGCTAACGGTATACGCTGGCGGGGCACCAGTGGAAGATGATAAGATGAACATGAGGTCAGGTTACTTAGCCGTGACAAATTCATTGGGAATTTATAACGATGGTTTCCAGGGGGAACCGCGTGGAGGTCGACCTGACATGGTACATTGCTAGCAATGGGATTAGTCCACATTACTAATAATTCCCTTCCTCCCTATATTTTTGCATTAAAGTATAGACAAATAAAATAAATAACAACCCTGTATATCTGTATATTTTATGTTCATAAAAATCTTGACTTATTTCCAAAAAACAGCAATATTCATAATATTAATACTAGATTTAAAGACAAACTTGCTGTCCCCAAGTATCGTTTAGAAAAAGTTAATAGGTCTTTTATGGGAATAGGTATAAAAATTTACAATAAGATACCAAAGGATATGTTGGAATTACCCTTAAATAAATTCAAAACATCTGTTAAATCATATTTACTGAGCAAAGCCTATTACTCACTAAACGATTACTTGAATGACGAGTGTGCATGGCAATAGTTGTTCATGCACTGAATTTTCATTTAATGTTCGACATAGACACCTATATAAAAATACATTGTAAATAAAATGGCCTATAAAAAAAAAGTAATTCAATTGAGTTTCTTGCCAGTTCTTCTCAATTGGATCTATATACCGAACTGGACGGTAGGGAAAAAATAAAATTACGTGAAAATATGACGTTCATAAGCGGCTAAAATGTCCTACATGAATAAATGATTTTTGAATTTTGAATTTTATCTATCAAAAATATATGTAATCTAATTGTATAGAAGTGGGGGAGGGGGTTTTAGGTTTAGTAATAGAAAATAGTGACTTCATTGCTCAAAGTTAGGTCAACCTCCATACTGGCCTCCCTAGAAATCATCGTAATCAATTTTTGGTAAACTCGTCACGATGTGCTAACTGACCTGACCTCATGCTCATTCTATCATCCTCCACTGGTGCCCCGCCAGTGTATACCGTTAGCGCAGAAAGTTGCATCATTTTATGATCATTCATAAAAATGGTAATTATTTAGGTTAGGTTTATTTTATATTTTTCTGACATAAATAAAATAAAACTTAGGTTTAGGTTTTGGAGATATGAAATGTTTCTCAATTAACGTAATTTGTGTAACAATGTACCTACATAATTACGTACATGATTATGTTATTGTTTAACAACAGTATTTAATATCTATTATTAAAATTAATAATTAAAACGAACAAATTATAAAAAGTATAAATTTTATTATTAAAGCTGCAGAAATATGACGTATTCATGTAAAAAATAAACACATGTCACTATGACTGCCCGAGTATTAATTAAACATATTTAAAGTTCTTAAAATCAGTCATTGAACGCATAAATAGTCTTTGGTTTTTATACAGTATTAATTAAAACAACCTCCGTGCATTGACAGTTTTTTGAAGGAATCCAAACGAACATCAGTAACTTAACAAAATGATTTTTATACGAAATTAACAAAATTAATAACATAATTGTAACAAAATGATTTTTATACGAAACTGCAACCATTTTTCTTTTTACGGCATATGAGCGATTATCTTTAAATGGAAGTATTTTGATGGTTATGTCACCATTTATTAAAAAAAAACTTTTGTTTGGAATTGTGTGAGATCTTTTGATAGGTTACATTCTGATTAAGACTGCATTCTGGCTGTAACATTTTATAAAATGTAGTCCCAATTGTTTTCTAAACAAGTCAACTTTAGGAGATCACAAATACACATTCAAACATTAATTCCCCTATCAGTGTTAGGGGTGAAAGTCATTTAATATCGAACACAACTACTAATAGTCTAATAAACTGATATGCACACATTTATATGCTATTCTTAGGTGATTCGCTGGGCACCTTCTATCATGCCTTTTTGCTCTCAAATCTGTACTGTCTTTGAAGAATTTCTCACTGATAACCGGCATGATGTTCCTCTTCTTCCTATCCAAGCAATTTCCACACGCCACCAACGGTCCTAGAATGGCTGGTAATACAGGGCGATCGGGTTTCGCCTCAGCAACTCCCATTTGGTGTACTCTTTCCAAAAACCCAAATACAGCTTTCTGGTCGACTTGGGTTTGCTCTATATTGCACACACATGGGTCTTCCTCGGGTTCTGAACGGACGAACAAAACGTTCAATAGTAGGATTGTGAATAGTTTTGAATACATGTTGACTGGCTCGTGCTTGAGGCAATATTGAATGATCGCAAGTCCGCTTCAATCTTATATACGGTCGGACGGGTATTCTCTACAAATGACTCATATTGACTCATTACACATAATGGCGTACTTCTAATTATTTGTTTGTTTCAATTAGATTATACTACATTATGTATTGTTCAGTTTTTGAGGTAATTTTAAGGTCGTAATTTTTTTTTTTATAAAAAATACAGTTAAGTAATTTATTATTGCGTAAATATTTCATACGCATGTATTGTTGGGTAAGAGGAAAATGTTATTTAATAAATATACAAGATTTTTATTGGGTTTTGATCTGTAGGTGTATGGGATAAAGTTTATAATATATAATTATATATTAACATATAATATCATCATATTATTATCCTTGTCAGATCCGTGTGATGACGAAGAAAGAATAGAATGTATCACTACATCATTTCGTCACAGGCTGTTGTAGAACCAAGAAATAGCTTAATATCTTATTAATATTATAAATGTCAAAGTTTGCGAGTATGGATGTTTGTTACTCTTTCACGCAAAAACTACTCAACGGATTTTGATGAAACTTTACAGTAATATAGCTTGTACATTAGAATAACTATGCTGTAATTTTTTTTTTTGGACATCTAGACCCAAGTTAAGCTAGCTTAAACTTGCGTTATGGGTACTAGATAAGTGATACATATACATAATTTTTATTTTTGTAAATTTTAAAAGATATTAAAATATACATTTGACATATCTTTCTAAATTATGGCCTACTAGCTGTACCCGCAACTTAATCTGTGTAAAATAGTGACTTTGACCAAATAATGAAAAATATTTAATAATCTAACACAATAAAAGACAAATAAAAAAATCATCATTCTAGCTTAAAAAATGACGAATTTTCCATATAGAATTCCATACAAATCAATCAACAGCCTACAAAAAATAAGTTTCTGGTTTCTACGGTTTAAAACCGACGATTCTTCCATATAACCTTGCGTCTCCCCTTTCAACCCCTTACAACGATTTATTCGCATCAAAAAGTAGCCTATATCTGTTCTCAGGGTTTAGACTATCTGTGTACCAAATTTCATTTTAATAGGTTCAGTAGTTTTGGCGTGAAAGCGAGACAGACAGACAGAGTTACTTTCGCATTTATAATATTAGTAAGGAGTAAGGTTAAGGATATAAATAGACAGCCTCGGTGGTCTAGTGGTTTAACATGCCGCTTTACTATCCGATGGTCGCAGGTTCGATTCCTCGCACGGCACAAACATTTGTATTCATGAGTATGATTGTTTGTATCGGTCTGGGTGTTTTCTATATATAATATGTATTTATTTACAAAAAAAAAATGCGTCTAGTACCCATAACATAACATTTTTTTTTTGTAAATACTCTCTTTCCAAAGGTTGTCTGTAAGAGATTGCATTAGCGATAAGACCGCATTTTGTACTTAGTTTTTTTTTTTGTTTTTAATTTGTTCATGTCCTTTATATGTTGGTGCAATAAAGTGTTATAATAATAATAATAATAACACAAGCTCTGCTTAGCTTGGGTCTAGATGACGTTGTGTGAATAGTCCTGAGATATTAAAAGAAAATATTATTCTGATATACAAGTTATGTTAAAGCAGACTACACACCTACTGTGTTAGATCAATTAAGTGACAAAACTTATGAAATAAAAATAGATGGCAATAAACGTAATGGTACAGGCATGGCGTATTATCCACGTATGAATGATAAACCAATAAAACACAATTCAGCTTTATTATGATGGGAGGGCGCAGGAAATGGAACGAGTCGACTGTTACTTAGGTAACGTCGAACTTATCCATTAATAATATAACTAGCTTATATTTTTAACTAGCATAATCATTATCATTACATATAATAAAACAATCGCTGTCGCTGTCTGTCCGTAACTATGTATGCTTAAATCTCTAAAACTACGCAACGGATTTTGAAGCGGTTTATTTAATAGATAGAGTGATTCAAGAGGAAGGTTTATATGTATAATACATGTATCCGGGCGGAGCCGATGCGAGTAGGTAGTAAAAGATAAAAAAGAAATGAAGAAGTACTACACAGTGGGAAAGAAAAAAAGGCAGATATAAGGTGAATACAACATAGGACGGATGACCTCGGTGGTTTAGCGGTTTAACACCGCTTTATTTATGACGGTCGCGAGTTATATAATATAGTATAATATAATATAATAATAATAATCTCAGGACAATTCACACAGCGCCATCTAGACCCAAGTTAAGTTAGCTAAAGCTTGTGTTATGGGTACTAGATGACTGATATAAATACATGGATATATTTTTTTCGTAAATACATATTATATATAGAAAGCAAGCAAACGGATACAAACAATCATATACATGAATACAAATATTTGTACTGTGCGAATCGAACCCGCGACCATCGGAAGTAAACCGATCTGCTAATCCGCTAAACCAGAGGGGCCGTCAATCATAAGTATATATGTATATAGTTGCAATGGCGGCATATCGCCTAGTAATATAATATAATATGATATAATAATCTCAGGACAATTCACACAGCGCCATCTATTATAGATCCAAGTTAAGCTAGCTAAAGCTTGTGTTATGGGTACTAGACAACTGATACAAATACATGAAAATATTTTTTTCATAAATACATATTATATATAGAAAGCAACCAAACCGATACAAACAATCATATACATGAATACAAATATTTGTACCGTGCGAATCGAACCTGCGACCATCGGAAGTAAACCGATCTGCTAATCCGCTAAACCACCGGGGCCGTCAATCATACATGTATACATAGTTGCAACATATCGCCTAGTAAATGACCATTTCCCCCATTTTCCGGGATATTTTTCCCAATAGTTCACTGGCACACATACAAACGACTAATAATCCATACAAGTTTCAGATTACGCGTGTGTGTTTGTTGAAATGGGGGGTAGGGGGTGCGCCGGGGGCAGGGGGGGCGGGTGCTCGAACACTGTTAAACTAATTATTGTGAGGAGAGAAGGGGAGTGAAAGCTCCTTAGATTTTTCTACAGTGCGCGAAAATATATATGTATTATACATATGTGTGTATAAAAATACACATATGTACACATAATATGTGTATTAATTTGGCCGATGTGTCTGCGTGTTGCGCTAAGAAATTTATATTAGGTCGTAATTTCCGTTGAATATTTCTTTTCGAATGTTATAAATTTCCAAGTTTTTATGCCAATGTTACGGTTTATCCGAGTAATGTAATTCGACTAGCTAACGCCGCCGGAATTATTTGCTTCATCTGATATATAATAAGATATATAAAAAGATGTGGGATTATAGCAAGTGAGATTTGAAGAAAAGATATATTTAATCATTTATTTACCTACGTCTTAAAATCGTCTTACATCGTCTTACGTCGTTCTGTCAACTCCCTCTCATTCTTTTTTTTTTTAATAAAACTATAATAAAAATAAAATGCATAAATCCTCTTTCCACATATATATATAGATATATTAATACATAAAATGGTCATTCATATGTATATAGATATATAAGAATAAACGATTCATGATCCGACTTTGAAATTGTTAAGTATATCCTCAAATTTAAAGTAAAAAGGAGAATATAAAATTGTTACATATAAAGCAAGCAGATCCTACGAGGTCCGCTAGTTAAATTACGCTGCTTGTCTACATAGGTCACTAGTGGAGGACATATACATAAATATATATAGAATACTAGCTGTACACGTGACTTCGTTCGCGTGTAATTTAACTTTATTTTTCTAAAATAAAAGTACCCTAAGTTAGTTCTTATTACATCAGCTACCTGCCAAAAAAAGTCCTTCTAAATCGGTCCAGCCCTTTCAGAGATCAGCTGGAACAAATAGACAGACAGACAAAATAGTAAAAAAGGTTATTCTGGTGTATGTACCGTATTTATATTTATATGCAGGTAGTAAAAAACGGTTATTTCAATATTACAAACAGACACTCCAATTTTGTTTATATGTATAGATTATAGAATATAAAAACAATACTATCTGGCATATATTTTATATATACAATTCTCGTGTCACAGTTTTCGTACCCATACTCCTCCGAAACGGCTTGACCGATTCTCATGAAATTTTGTGAGCGTATTGAGTAGGTCTGTGAATCGATCAACATCTATTTTTCATCCCCCTAAATGTTAGGGGTAGTCTACCCTTAATTTTTTTTTAAGGCAAAACAACGTTTGCCGGGACAATTAGTATTATTATAAAAAATTGCAAAATTGTAGTAATGTGTGTCTTAAAAAATAATGCAATGGTCTGGATGGAGTTGTAGGTTTAAAGCACCTGGTAATAGCCTTTAAGGCAAAACAACGTTTGCCGGGACAGCTAGTATTATATAATATTGAATGGTGCACCTGCTTGCGCCTACGGTATACGCAGACGGGTCACCAGTGGAGGATGATAAGTTGAGTAAGATGCCAGCTTATTTAGCCCATCGCAATGGCAAATCCAGGAGGAATTTAATATAACTGTTAAATTCCTCCTGGAATTGATCCTCCTGGTTGTCCAGGGAGAACCGCGTGGAGGGGGGGGAAAGAGATTGTTAGTAATGTGGACTAATGATTCCATTGCTAGCAATGTACCATGCCAGGTCGACCTCCACGCGGTTTCTCCTGGAAACCATCGTGATAAATTCCTGGTGAATTTGTCACGATCGGCTAACTGACCTGACCTCATGCTCATGTTATCATCCTCCACTGGTGCCCCGCCAGCGTAAATCGTTAGCGCAGGCGGGTGCACCATTCCATTATGATCCACAAAAAAAAAAAAGATAACCGCGTGGAGGTTAATCTGACGCGATACATTGATAGTAATGGTGTTATCAATCCATATTATTAACAACTAGCTACTCGCCCCGGCTTCGCACGGGTGTACATATATTATACATATAAACCTTCTTCTAGAATCACTCTATCAATTAAAAAAACCGCTTCA